GTTGTCGTTGTCGTCGTCGTTACAGTTGTTTACGTTCTTATTGTTGTTGTTGCTGCTGCTATTGCTGTTGTTGTTATTATGATTATAATTATTATAATTATAATGATAATAATAGTAATAATACTAATAATAATAATTACTGTTAATATTATTACACGGCGAACTTGGATACCTTGGTATTAGATGAACTTCCGTGTTAAACCAAAGGGGTGGGTTTATTACTTCTCTAGCCTTACCGAGATATTCCCGGCAATAAAAATGAGTGCTTTGCCTTAGAAATGTCCCATTTGTATGTTAAGTAGAGTGAAACACGTTAGTGAAACCAATGACAACATGAAAAAAAAAGAAAATAAAGCAAAAAAATCCAACCCGATACAGAAAATAAACATTACAAAACCAAAGATGAAATTTAAGATATGGCAGTACTGAGGGGAGGGGGGGGCTGAGACTGAATTACGACTTCGTACCTTAATTGCAATTTCCCACAGGTTCAAAGCCGCAGTCAAAAGGCAGGATGAAGTGCTCTTCACAAGACACAAGTTTCCAGGCCCGTTTCTCGACCTGATAGTGAGCCAAGCAGTAGTTGGTGTAAATAAGTAAGTATATCGTTGCTGTTACAAGCAATCCATTTTAGTTAAAATATAAAGAATGTTTGACCCCGCCCCCCTCAAAAAGCTCTAGTAAAGATGTAACTTTCAACATCACCAAAATGCTGTTCAATGCTTTAGTCAAGGCTACAACTGTCTTACTTTTCACGATTCCTGATAAGAACAACACAATAACGACTAATTTATTTTTGTTCTTCGGGGTGGGTGGGCCGGGGGGGGGGGTTGCTTTTTCTAAGCAACCAAACGGACCTCAGAGGATTGCTTACGACACCGACGATAAGAGGAGGTCAGGAATTGACACCGTTCTGGGCCCTCTAGGGGAATTTCGAAGAGAGTGCGTCTCAAGTGGTTGGTGTGCCAAAGAAGGGGAAATGAAGGAATGAAAATAGAGACCAAATTAAGCATCAGAGTAGATGCCGCACGGATGATAAAATGTTACTCAGCATTCAAAAATGGATGGGCGAGAGTATCTTTTTTTTTCTCTAAACCCTATAATCAAGCTTTATACTCGTATATACCCAAACAAGTCAGATCGCTTTTCAAGTAATGCCTAGTTTCAAGCGGGTCTTTGTGGTGTGCAGCTTTTTATTCAGAATTTTGTATTATGTTTTTTGCAATTTCTTAATAGTATTAGTGTTAGATGTTTTGTTTTCATTTTAGTCAGTGGTAATCAATTTTAAAGGGGAATTCCGGTTTAAGGACAGCAAGCCACTTCCTACCCGACTTTATTGCTTAAGACATCAGTTAGATAATTTGGAAGGAGCTGCTCCAATCCTGCTGCTCAACAACATCCCAGGGTCTGGAGGTATAAGGCCCTAGCAGAAATAGAACAATGCCTGACAAAACACCTTCACCATTCAGGAATCGAATACACTTCTTTCGTGTGCAAGGCGAAAAACCTGGTTTGTCCCTGACATACAGTATCGAAACTACCAGCTTCAAAATTATGTATCTAAAATGTGCCGTCGGCGACGTAAAATCTTTGCTACAACGAAAGTGATGTTATTAAGAAGCTCTAGTGGTAACAATGGGATTTAAAAAATAATTGAGTTTGTGCTTTTAAACCATGCCATTTTATTGTCTTAATAATGAACTATGTTTGTTTCTTTGTTGTTGTTTTTTGTTTATATAAGTGCTTTTTTTCTTTTTAATAGGGTGTATGGAGCAGCTGCTGCAAAAGTCCCTCTAGCTGCACTCCGTTCACTTATCTTCACAAAGGTATGGGATCACTCGTATGTTTGTTTTGCTTTTTCCAATAAGCGAGCGCTTTTGGTCATCAGGGCTTTTTGTCTCTGCCCCCCC